GCTGCAAATTTTACGGGAGTTGACAACATCAGTCGAGATGCAATCAGGTATCATTGAACAGAGTGGAATGGTGAAAACCTGTTGTCATAAAGATGTGTGTGATGCAGGCCACTCTAACGAGATGTAGCATGCATGTATTCAATATAAACTTTAAGATCGAATTAAATATTATATCGAACGTGGAGTACTGAATGCAGTATTATTGGACAAGATCCTAATAACGTTGATGTACTGCGATAGAATATTGAATATTATCTGCTTAAACCACAGCCAAACATTTTTCAATTTTGAGACAAAACAAAATGTTTTTTTCGAGTCGAGCCCGCACGGCACGATCAACACTGTCACAACATGATTTAACATAACTATTAACATTGAAGAATATTCAAACAATAAACTGTAAATATTCAAACAATAAACTATTAAAATTTGACATCCACGAGGGACTCAGTTGGAATTTATAGCAAATGTGTGAAAGCTAATTCAAAATGGTTTGATAAATATCATATAAAATCAAATCAAGAATAATGACATAAAGATTATCACTTAGAAGAAAAGAGGAGTAAATCGGTCAAGTAGTGAATATTGGAAAGGAAAAGGACTTGCTTGCAATAATTTATTATTAAATCTAAAATAGCTAATAATTTAATAAATTATTAACAGGCCCCTTAACGTCGGCAATAATATACGCTTTATAAATTATATAAACAAATTGAAGTCTATTTTCCAATGTTGCTAAGTGTCTCTTTAGATCTGTTTTGGTCTTTCGTGGGAGTTCCCACATTTGTTGGTTGAGAATGCTCAACATAACATACATGATGCTTGACTGCTTTATTGACCCGGACAGGCACCGGGGGCAGACATCCCAACACCAGTGCGTTGGGACATAGTGTTGGTCTGCTTCAGGACGTGTTAGATCCTAGAGAAGCCGCCATCCCCTCTACTGCTTTAGCTCAGCGGCAGCATGAGCCCTGGTTTCCTGCCACATTGGTACCTCTGAAAGTACAGAAAAGTGGTGGATTTCGGGGTCCAGGATACTCCCTCTTTGTTCTTTATGGTGGTAATATTTCTCTGAGATGTTTGCAGAGTCTTTATTTCATGATCTTTCTAGTGGGATAAATCCTGGAGAGCATCATTTTGTCCCCAAAGAAATTCGACTCTCCTAATGAATGCTTTTTGTGTGCTGCTTTTTGTTAACACTTCATCTAGATAGGAATGTGAGTCTGTCCCACCCAGCTCTTCTTTCAGTTGCAGGTAACTGGTGTCTTGCACCTCCAGACACAATAGGCTTGCAATAAAAGAAATATAAAAATATGACAGTTCTGTTTTGGGTAATGACTTGAGGCTTGGTTTGATATAGATTTAGATCTCACAAGCAGAATAAGCAAGTTTGTGTGAAAAAACCCTTGCTGACCGGTTCGAGACTGGCTTTTGCCATGATATGATATGATCAATCCGCAAAGTAAACTCCTCCGATCCACTCAGCCGAAATCTAACATCTGTGGTTGAGAATTGAATGAGGGGGAAGCTGCACCCTACTATTTTTTATTGTAATGCATAACACTAAATGCTTTGGCGCGTCGTTGCGCAGCGGAAATTTTGCTTCAACGAAAATATTCAAACTTCGATAAACTATATTTATAAACTATAATCAAGCGGGTCCTTCTCGGAAAGGAAAAATGAAAACAAACACTATATGACTATTTTCAATTGATTTGCAATACGACTACAAAAATTTATTCAAGATTTAAGCAAAGGATGTTTGTATCACGTCGTGACCCCCACGGTCGTTTCACTACCCCTGTAGAGTTTCTACTAGGCAGTGCGCCATCGACAGTAAGACGCGCGCGCTGACCATTGAATGGTTTTTTAGCTCTTATTTCGGCCAGCACATTATTTTGGAAACAATCGAAAAGTTATAATACTTCCCATATAACAATTTTGTTGAAATTTGGTCAGCTTACGTAAACACTTATGTTCTACTGAACCTAATTTAGTTTGAGCAATTTCGATGGTCAGAATTTGAGTTATCAAAGAATTTATACCTATTTTTTCATTTTTAGACCTCTTAATCAAGACCAATCTCTCCCAACTAAATTAGGTTCGGTAGTTAAGTATGATTGGAAGGTTCTGACAAATTTTCAGCATGATTCATGTTCAGGAACCGAAGATATGACAGAATAATATGACAAAAATCAACGAATTTCGTCAAATTACGCGACTTTTACAACTAATTTTGCTCCAAAAGCCGCGCACCATCAAATATGGCACCAAGGCGAAGCTCACTGATCATTCCAAAAAAGTATAAAAAATTTGATACTGTGAAAATTCTCACAGTCTCTAGAAAACAATGGTACAAAAATTTTGAAAATCCGAGCAAGTTTATTTTTATCGTGCACCCCCTATTTCTACGATACAGGGGGAGCCACGCACTCGTGCACGGCGAGTCATACAACGTATGACAAAAAGGTGGATGCGCGCCGCACATCAAATATAGATCAATAATTTTTCTTGCTACTTAACCACCACGATATACTTTGACTGTGTATTGTTAATGGACTAGCCCGGCGCCTAACAACAATTACAAATAACAACAACAAAATTTCGAGCAGAAAGCGGCGCGCGCTACTTCGAAGAAATATTAGACAACTATTAACATTCGTCAATACTTTGGTAAATCGGTTATTGGCAAGTGCTACGAAGTAGCGCACGCCGGGCCAAACCATTAACAATGGTCAAGTAAATTCGGCGGAGCTGGAATTGCTCTATCCAGAGCCCTTGCAGTAGCGCTTGACGGATGTTACTCGTCTAAATTTCTTCGAAGTAGCGCGCGCCGCTTTCTTCTCGGCCCGAGCTACGAAGTAGCGCGCGCCGGGCCAGATCATTAACAATGGTCAAAGTAGCGCGAAAGCATATGGTTAGGTGAAGAGCTTGCTCTAACCAGAGCCCTCTCGCTTGCAGTAGCGCGTCACGCAGTACGCGTAGACACATGCAACATGACTATGTGAAGTGAAGAGCTGGAATATGGAATACCATTCACCGAGTTGCGAAGGATCATTAACATCGTGAATCAATTTTTAGGTGCGCCTTTTTCTATGCCATATTGCATATGCGCGGCTTCTTTTAATTTTCGAGCGCCGAACTTGGAACTTTTTCATTTTTGCGTACATTGCTTTATACTATCCATGATCCAGAGCCCTCTCGCTTGCAGTACGCGCGGCGTAGACTCATGGCTTGTGAATTGCGTATATGTGAGAGAAACGAGCAATCGACTAGTAGTAGTATAACTATAGCATATAGTAAGTTAAGTAAAAATTTGTAGGTTTATAACCTACCCTAGGACGCGCGCTGAGTTGGACGTCGACGGTCCTGATATTTGAAACAAATATTTTACGAGTATCACCCGTTAAGTTTTAAAAAATTTGTTCCGTGGTCAAAACTAACACGTTTGACGTTGTATATCTGTATACCTCGGCTAATGATTCGGCGGAATGACAGGCTGAGCGCCGTCCATTTACAGTGCGAACATGTGGTAGTGGTACTGGTAATGAAGCTGTTAATGTTAATGCAAGGTCAATAGTTACCTGGGGACCTCAGGCTATCATGTTCTTAAATAGAGATTAGGCGGAATGACAGACTGAGCGCGGCCCAGTAAGGTCAATAGTGGAAGACTCAAAAAATTAGGAATCATGAGATACTATCATTAACAATTAATTATGATAGTATTAGTATCCCATATGCCATACCATGATCTGTGTTCATAATTTTGATTATTCAAACTAACTTGGCAGACTTTTTGACCCGTATTCGTGCAAGATTTCAACACAATTAAAAATACCAGCTTTCCAATATTGTAAACGTAAAATGATGCATCATTTCAGCTTTAAATTAAACGAAGTTTATGCGATCGTCATAAATTTAGTTCTTTTTAGTTTAAGATCACCGATCGTTTCATCAATACTTATTTACCCCACTTTCTTGCGGTTTATAATCATCAAACTATGACTCGACCATATATCGTAAATCCTTAGGTGTTAGGATAATTAGCCACTCGAAAGTCTAATCGTTGGGAGGCAAAGCAATTTCCTGACACGTAACTAAAAATATTAGTTGGGCCATTCTTTAGATCGCTGTCATTTTTCAAAATACTTTCCACTTTCCTCTATTAGTCACGTCAATGAACCAGTTTGTGATTCGCCTGTACTTTTAATTTTGATTTGATTCGGCATACCGATAGGAAGGAACAATGAGTCATACGTGGTCGATCACATATTACTGATTACGTTATCACTACCTTATCGGACCTTATTTGGACGGACATTACTTGAACGCTGGAGGCCCTAGCGTTCACCTTAATGTCCGTTCAAATAAAGTCCGTTCAATTAATGTCCGTCCAAGTTAAAGTCCGTTCAATTTTTTTATATAAAATTTTAACAATCTGAATTGTAAATATCACATTATTGCATGATCACTATCTTGAAGTTGATCTTCGGCTTCTTCTACCTCCACATTTTCTTTTACAACTGGTTGTCTGTCCAACTCGTAGTTGTACCAGGCAATGAATGATCCCAACTGCTCTACTAGAGAGATACTTGAATGCCTAAAGTACAGCTTAAACTTTATCTCTAGCCCCCCACTCGGTAAAGGCGACCTTCAGTGGCTTATGTCAGCTACGATACATTCTACCATACCAACCATCTCGATAAAGTAGAAGACAAACCGGGATATCTTTGTATCACGTGGTGACCCCCACGGTCGCTTCACTGTAGCGTCTTCGACGCTACAGGGGGAGCCGCGCACTTCGTGCGCGGCGGGTCATACAACGTATGACAAGGATATCTCCCTGCACGAAAACCCATTTGATGAAGATGATATGTGATATTAGTTATTACTATTGTATTAGATAATGATCATGTACACATATTTTAACATTTTTACTGATTAAAGACTGATTTTCTTGCTTACTGTATGAAAAATGGATTTGAAAATCATTTGCAAAAATTAAAAAAACGTTAAAAAAAGATGAAAAAAATTCGGATTTTTGATGGTTTTGATTGCCTTCTAGCGTTCATATTAATGTCCGTTCATAATTATGTCCGTTCAAGTAATGTCCGTCCAAATAAGGTCCGATAAGGTATCAGCCGAGGGAGGATCCAAATGATTACGCTAGTGTAAGTTTGACACAATAGCTATGTGTAAAACTGATTACGGAGGGGGGAGGGGGTTACAAATTTTCCAAAAAGTGATTACTTAATATGTGAACGACCCCACACCACATGAGTGTAAAAATAGATCTCAGCCACATATTGATGTAGATTATCAAAGCTTCAATATTCTACAAATATTAATATTATCAATATGCTCGCAAAACCTGGAACAATAATTACAGAAATATAAAACACATTACATGGCTTGTTTTTACGTTCGATAAATCTTGATCATTCTTTTATAAACTAAATTCGAAACTAATTTTGTCACAAATTTGATGACATTTCATTGCAAACGTCCACAAATCCCAAGAAAGCAGTTTCAAATTGGACGAGGATTTACAGCCTTGCGATATCCCACAAGTTTTAAAACTATTTAATGAAGCTTTGCTCATGTGAGACGTACAAAAAACTAAGATAAACCCGTAAAAAACCCAACTCAACAATGAGAATCGAATTTTATCTTTCGAATGCCTGGAGAAGGGACAAAGTTCAGCTATTGTACTTTGGTTTCACGAAACTATTTCCGACCATAGACATAACGAGTTGCAATGATGCGTCAAAATTAATTTGTTCCTTCTCTCCGTCATTAGTGATAAGAAATATTAATAATTTGAAAATTAAAAACTTATCAAAAATTTAAGAAGTCGACAAAAGTAATGAATTTCACAATCAGTGGCAGTGATCAACAAATTACCTCCAAAATCAGTGTAATTGGAGGAAGCTACTTATCACAAAATTAGATTAAAAATTACAAGTCTGAGTTTTTACAAAACATTATCAAATCAAATTTTAAAATGGCCAGACAGATTAACGGCCTCCAATTTTGAGTTTAAGCTATTACTAATATAATGCAAAACTCTTCAATTTACAATCCTCATCTTCGGCAAAAAAATGTAATTTGTAGCCAAATCGAGTTACGAGAGTACAAAAATGATTATTTTGTTGTTATCACAATTTTGAAGAGGTCAGTCCACAAAAGTAGCTTTTTCGAGAGCTTCATACCACTTCTCTTTCTCTGATTCTGATTGAAACTTTAGGAACATTGGGTCTAAACCTTGGTGTCCAACCTGGAAATAAACATAAGTGTAATAGGTACTAAGCAGTTACATCACTGCTTATAATGTGATAACATTATTTTCACAACTTTGAGTTGTGAAAATAGTTTTATCCAACGAGTTTGACGAGTTGGATAAAACGAGTTATATCCCGAGGTTTGACCGAGGGATATAACTCATGTTATCATATTATAAGCAGTGATGTAAATGCATTCTCTGATGATCTACGAAATGATGCTAGCGAATGCAGCATTTACATCAGAAATTAACGACCGATAATATTACTACATATAACATTCCAGAGTCAAACTTTGTAGAGGACACGTCCCTATCTCTTAAAATTGTTACAGGTCGCTGAGATGTTGCTAATTATTTTAAATTGGTCAAATAAGCTCAGTGAAGCTCACACTCACACAAAACTTGCCACAAATGGTTGACTACTTGTTATTGACATTCTGTAAAATTTTGAAGCAAAAATATTTATCAGAACATAAGTTATACCACTTTCTGTTTTTAAAATAATTAGCAACATCTCAGCGACTAAGGATGGACCAGGGAGATAACAATAGTTATCTCCCTCCCAGTTATTTCACCCCTATTTAATGCATTATATTAGCGTAAACAAGAGTGAGATAACAACTTTTACATTATGGACAGTTACACACTGATCATGAGAGAATAAATGATACATCCTTAACCTAGATACAATGTAACGAGTGTATTTATTGGTCTTTAGGCTGAAAACTACAAATAAATAGACTTAATTGAGGGCAATTGAAACAGTAATTAAATTAATCAATCAGATAAGGGGAGATATTTACCTTTAAAGTAAGGGTGACATCCTGCACTTTGTCACAATCTTGTGGTTCCGCAATATTCCAGCCTAAAAGCGGCATTTCCTTCTTAGCCTTCTTGTCCTGCGTTTATATATAATAAGTTAAGGGCGAAAACACAATAATATTTAATATAAGTATATTTTCGTGAAAACTTTCGATCACATGACCGTTACATACTCATAGTCAGTACGACAGACTGACAAACGAACAAACTTACATAGGTTCCCGCGTAAAGATGAAGAATGACACCTCTTACTACACACCAATATTTCTGATAGTGCCCCTCTCCAACTTTAACCTGAATCAAAATATCTGGTTAAGTGTTTTATCTTAATTTTAGATTTTATTAGTTCAAAATTTAACTTGCAAAACTTGATAATGATTACAGCGGAGAACGAAATAGAAGTTCCCAAGAACACGATGAAATTATCAAGCTCAAATTTCATCAAATAAGAGTTTACAAACCAAGATGTGGCCGTTGATGGAGCCGGATTGTATTGTTCCCTTGGTAAGAGTACTGTCGGGTATTTCCTCTGACATGTCTTTAGTACCGGGGAAGAAATTGCTGTTCGTCAAACCACGCTGAAAATTATGACTTGTTCAGGTTGTATTTCATAGTGTGTACTGGAATTATATGGAAAGTGATATGTTTTCACTTATGGAACCGGTCACTAAGGTGGAGGACGGTATGGCGGAACTTTTTATAAAGGGTGTACTTTACAATTTTACAGTACGGCGAAATCACATGACACTAAAATCAATATTTTAATAGACTGTATCGAATGTGATTAACACTGATCGGCCATTCTACTAGAACTTTCCTTAGGACATAAAATCCTTTACATTATTAAACTATCGGCTCCTACGCATCACGATAAGGCAGTAAGGGGGGGGGGGGGGGGGGTAAGACAGTAGACTAGATTACATTAAGGTAACTCATACATTTTAAATGTAAACATTGGCCTCATCAAAGCACGTATCTTTACATCAGGGAGCGACTTCTGTACATTATACGTGTTTAACTTCCATCACTTGAATTGTATGACATTGAAGAATTGTGATAAGTAATTCGTTTATTTTCTCTTTTTGGAAATTCTACGTTTCTAATCGACTAGAATTATCGGGATACAAATCAAACAATTTGGACAGTACAGTAGTGTTATGTGATTGTGCTAAATGTGCCTGTCCACCTTTTTGGAAAGTTCCGCCGTGCTGTGCACCACTTTAATACTTAATCTCACTGTTGGTTGTGACAAGTTGACACACTATAATACTCACAGTTTTCCTGGTTTTATCGTCCAGACCGTCTCTAGCGGACAGGATAGTGTTACAAGAGTCACAAACACGTCCGTTCTTGTTGTCAAATGCTAGCCACTGTTTGTTTGAAGAGCACATACTGCAGTAAACCTGGAAAATAGTGAGTTTTCGTGACCGGTTGTTTCACTAATTCTTAGTTACAATTCTTAGTTACTGTTTAGTCATTCTTAGTTCATAGATCTCGTGAGGACGAGTGAGAGTGATAGTGCTCCATACAAAACATTAAAACATTCTAAGCAACAATTTTGAGATCAGTTGGAGATGTAGAGATAAAAAACTGCCGTATTCCAATTTATTTAATGCATTATAATTATACTCATCAAATTTAGTGTAACCAGATCAGAGGTATTAGTAACCATCAAATTGTACGAAACATATGCTATACATTGTACACATCAACATGAGACGACGGCATGATCTACGTATTGAGTTTGAACCTTCATTACACACAACGTTCCAATTTACTGTCGTTATATGTTTTTGTGTTTAGTTTGATCATCATGTTTTGTTTTCTCAAATTCTTGTAGAGTATTCACAGTTCTTGATGTCTCAACCCTGTATTTGATTGAAGAAACTACGCCCTACAAATGACCATATTTGGAAATTCTCACAGCCTAGCACCATGGATCTACAAATTACAGCTAAGCTTGCTGATTGTAACTGGAATTATGGTATTTCTAAATCTAGACAAATTAACAGTGATCACTGGAGGTTCTCTTGAATACTCAAACTCTGAAGCTCCTGACGAGCGCTTCAAGATTATCGAGTACGAAAAACTTCTTGAAGAAGTTGATCAGAAGAAAGAGAAATATTTCATGGTGGTAGCTATCCCTACTATGCCTGGTTACTCCGCCAAACGAGCAGCTATCAGGAGTACCTGGGCGAACGCTTCAAGATGGGCCAATCTCAAGGATACAGAGGAACACTTCAAACGAATCAAAATAATGTTCATTCTGGGAGACACACAATTTGAGACTGAGTCAGAAGAATTTAAGAAAGAGATGAAAGAGTACAATGATATGTACATTATAAACGGTTTGGCAGAAGGTCGGATCGTTCTGAAATACAAGGTTCTCTGGGGCTTAAAACGGAGTTTAACGTTTGACTACGACTACTTTGTCAAAACAGACGATGATATTTTCGTGAACCTGCCGCTGATGATCATGTCCCTGATGGCATCCTCACGTGACCGCCTGTACACAGGTAGCTGTATGCACGTGTACGGAGGGTGGGGGAACTACCCGCGCTGGTTGTACTGTTCAGGGGGAGGCTATATCCTGTCACGTGATGTGGTGGAAGAGATTCAGAAACTTCCAGAACGAGTTCACCATGCCCCGTTCAGGCCGGAGGACGCGTACACGGGGTGGTTAGTACACTGTCTGGACGAGGTTAATGATTTTAAGGTTAAGGTTTTCACTCAAGGGTTGCTGAAAGTGGGGTCCTACAAATGTGGACCATTTACCCACACATGGTTCTATCATCATGTAATGTATAGTAATATGGAGAAGTTTTTTCAGAAGATTGATAAGAATATTTATGATTTGTGTCCCTGACATCAAGCCCAAATGTTATTAATTAATGCTTTATCGAATATTTTGTAAGCAGGTGCGATATAATCTAGGATCTGCCAGATCGAGAATTTTACCATGAAAATTTCAAGATTAATTGAAATTTGAATCAATAAAATAATTGTTGAAATATTTTAAATCGTAAGTTGAAATGATGCTAATTTTTATACGATGCTTGAGTTAGTACTAACCATAGTCTTTTCCTTGATCAATAAAATTCTAAAACAAATCCAAGATTTTATCAAACTCAGAGTTCGAAGCATATAACAAAAACGGTCGAGCCTCCAAAAAAAGAGCAAGTGTGTGTAAGAAGGAAATACATCGAAAAATCCTCGATCAATATAATTTCTTTAAAAAAATAAGATCGACAATGAAAGTGAAACTAATAATTAAATTTAAGGTAAAAATGATGATTAAATTAAAACTGATAGTGAAAGTAAAACTGCAACTGATAGTAAAAGTGTTCAAACCTTGCCACAAGCTCTACAGTGGTGTCTGCGGACAATGGTGGTGAAGGTTCTCTCACAGCTCATACACATAGACACTCCATTATCGGGAATCCAAACCGGTGCTACAAGTCCTGAAAAAACCACCTTTATACTTATAGTTAGTTGGTATGGTTTAGGTGTACGTTAACAGCAAAATGTATATACACTTCGTAAATGGATACTCCATTTAAAACTGCATGAAAATACCGTTCATTCTGGTATAACAGGAGTACAGGACATTAATTCTCACTAACCAAGTCTCTGAGGGGATGCAGTCGTAGTAGCCTGACCTCCTCCCGCCATTACTCGGCCAAACGCCGCCATCCAACTCCTTTTCTCAGGTTCGTCCCTAAACGAAGAGGGGTTATCTTTTCTGATTTCAGAACTATCACATATTCGATATTCTGTATTTATCATATCGCCTGGTTACGTAATAAGCTGAGCACCTTCGCGCGAAGACTAAATTTGTACACCCTTGTACACGGTAGGGTACGGTGGTTAAAAAACCGAAGTTGCTCAAATCGTTCCATGTCTAAGCTCAAAAGTAGATGCCGGGCTAAAAAACTGCCTTGAAAAAATATTGCGGTGCAACTCCATCGGAATATAGGCACACGGGCCACGCCCTTATTTGTTGAGGCCCTCATACATTGCTTATAGGGACTCGTGTAGACAGTCAAACTGGGTAGCATGTGGGGACATGACGTAGAATGATATATTAACCATATAATAGGCTCTCAAACAACTTAATTGGGTTCCTTCCTAGTGATTGGTATGCCAAACCCATTGATTGAGCCCCCATGACGTGTGATTAAGTGAGTTGATCACATGGCATCTGACCCATGAGAGTGATAAATGAGGTTATTGTGAAACAGTTTTGTAATTTGTACCAATTAGTACAAACAAGCAACAACATTCTGCATGCAGCCTCAATTATCTATTACCAATTACCATGGGGACCGAAATAAGGCCTGGTATAAATAACCTCCTGGCATATTTATACAATTATACATCTTCTATCACGTGCTCGCTGATCAACTGCAACATACAACTACTCGATAATTATGACATCCTCCAAAAGAAAAGTCAGTAGACGAGAAGTTCCCTACCTTGAAACTCTACTGGAAAAGTTTCCCTTCACCAGACTTCCTACAAAGCTGACAGTTATGAGGAGACTCGTGTTTATCACCGAGACGGCCGCAGGAAGTTCAGTCTCCAACGCTGAAGCTACGAATAAAACAAGGAACGAGCTAAAAGAAGTCTGGACATACGCTGGCTATGAAGACATCCTCAAAGACAATTCAGGAATTGATAAGAGTATCAAGGTAAGTCTCAGTTGGTTTAATATTGTTCTAGTTTTTATAATGCTAAATGTTAAGCCTTTATTCGTGAACCTTAAATGATGGTTAATTTGTCACAAATCAATTTAGAAAATAAATGTACTTGATAACTTCAGGAGCTGCTGAAAGAACACAATAACCTGCGGAAAATACCCAAGGAGAGGCGGACAACAGATAAATTCAGAGCTAAAGTGTTGGCTTACGTTACTGGTCTTCAGCAGTTACACGACATCACAAAGAAATCCCTCCACTCGTCAAATCTGATAACTGCAGAGGATAGGGACTTCCTATTTAACCATTGGGATAAGACCATATCTTCAACAAAAGACATGGGAGCGCTCAGAAGTGTGGAACGAAGGATGAACAAGGAGAAGAGTTACCAGGCGTTTGCTGAGAGACAACAAACTTCGACGCCAACGTCTAGTTTACTAGACTTGTCAATTTCTTCAGAAGAAGAGCTCAACTCCTCAGAAGAGTCCTACAAACCGGTCATGAAAAAAGAAGCAACGGATACTGGATAGGGACAACAGTGCAACTTGATGCTGATATCCTCACCAAAACGGGGTTAGCTGCTGACCGGCTGAACATATTAAAGTGAGCACTGCGTTTGACTCCACTTTCAAGTTTCGGTCCATACTTTTCGTATGTTGCTTAGCAGTAAGACATAACTCATACTACACTAAAAATATTTAAATCCTAACATAGAGGAATTCTTTACTTATTGTAAACACTTTACTTATTGTAAACACTTCGTTTACTTCATTCTAAAACTTTTATCATAATTCTCGAAAGGTTCTTATTGTATAACAGATAAGTGTTAGAGAAAAGGGGGTTGCTAGTTCAAAGGTCTGCTTCATAGAAACGAGCGGTGATAATCGTTATCAGTAACCAAACTAAAATGTGTACTTGTCAGAGCTTCACGGATAAATTTGAAATATAATACCCTCATCTAGCGACATAATGAACTTACCTTGTGAACATGGATACAGAATCGAAATATTGTTATTTTCGCTGTTTTATGATGTGTATTCCCGTTTTTTCTCCGCTAAGATGACGGTTCATTGTATTATTACGTCACGGCGCAATGTTTTTAAATGTTTTCTCTCCTTCGCCCAAAAGCAGTTATAATACTGTCAAATGCAGTAAAATTGCACAAATTTCGATTTTACAAAACCGCATGTTGTTGTAATTTGAGTAATTTATCTTTAAATCTGAAATTAAAGCACGTTTCAGCAGGTTACAAAAGAACAAGATGGCTTCGCTAATCCGTAATATTCAAGTACCCATGAACTTTGGGTTGGAATATCTTGGCTCACCCTCCCATGGCAACCTGAAGTTTATTCTGAAGGATGAGTTCCTTCTTGCCAACTCAGCAATTATGTCCTTAAATAGTCCTGTCATAAAGAAAATTACGATAGAACTTTTTCAAACTGAAATTCTAGTTGAAGAATTCTCGAAAACTGCGATTGAGTGTTTCCTGGAAGCCTCCTATTCTGGTGCTTTAACAAATATTTCAAAATTCAATTTCCAAGATCTTAACAAGATGGTTCACGTCTTTGAAGTGAAGTGGTTGATTGAACGGTGCTTTGAATATTTCCAGGGATTGACGGATTCCGTGAAAGAGGATAACTTTGACGAGCAGTTATTCTTATTTGATCAGGCCATGTTCGTTCTGGAAAAATTGAAAAAGAGACAATTTATAGATGTGGTAATCAAGAAATTTACATCTTTGGCAACTTGCACACAGTATTTTGCAACCAATTACCTCAGTGACATTTCATCTTGTTCTACAAAGAATCTTGATGTGATTATGGAACTTACTGCTATTGCTGATCAGGAACATATTATCGTGGAAGCTCTTGTCAACAACTTGGAAAAGAATGAATGCACTCTTGGTCAGAGCAGCAGATACATGATCGAGAAGTTGAACTATAAAGTCTGTTCTTCTGTTCACGAGCCTGTCTATCAACGAATGTTTAAAAAGTTTGAGGAACTAGAAGATCCATCAACTGAGGACTTCAGGCTCATTATGAGGGCAATGCAACATTACAATAAAGCACTGAAGGAGATGAAAGATTCCATCTCATTCGCAGTTTTACCAAACTTGTTTCATGGTTTCCAGCAGCTCAATGACATAAATGATTTCGAAGAACTGACAACCTTTTTGACAGAGTCACCACTGGTGAAAAACAGTTATATTTTCTTAGATGCTATTTATATCTGGCTTTTTGAGAAGGCAGTCCAAATGAATATTCCTTTCGTGTCCATCAGTGACGACTTTGTTGAAAAATTCGCTGACATTATGCAGAGCAAAGGATGGAAACCTGTGGAACTAGAATACATAGAAAATAAAATGGGGCCATACTTTGGTGGCCTTACTGACAAAATACACCACAACACAAGTTTGGTAACAGATAACCGCGTTGGCCTTAAAGTTAATTGTATACCATCAACCCGTGAATACACGCCAGAAGAACTTTTTGCACGAAATCACGACATAAAGTTTAAATTCAAACAGGAATCCATAACCAATTGCTCCAAAGAAGGGGATTGTGGTTTTATACTTAGAATAACTGCAGCAACGGAAAAGCTAGATGATTCGTTTAATATACGACTGGTAGTAGACCAAAACCTTTACCCTGACGATGTGCATTTTCACAAAGAATCATTGATGTTAGCTGAAAACATACACTTTACTTTTGATGTGACGTTTGAGGGCGTAACCAACAGCGCACGTCCGATAACCTGGCATGGTAGACCATGTCGAGATGGAACACAGCAGTTCTGGTGTTGGGGTGCAGAACGTTTCTACAAAAAGGATGAAGGAACCATGCCTCCGACATATCCCTTGAAATGGGCCAGCTTTCACGGTTCAAACAAAAAGATAAGACCTGTCGTCTATAAGTTGGGATGATAAGATTTCCTTCAGAATTTCAATTTTATCAATTACGTGATTTTTTGAATGAAGACTCGTTGTGTAAATTAACTAGAAATAGTTTTGTGCGTGGTTAACATTAAAAGATACTGCTTATTTGTTAATTTCCTTGACAAACTATCACTAAGACATTTTTGAGAGTTAATTTTTTGAAACTGATTGTCTCATATTATAAGGGAATAATTTTCAAAAATGTTACTTCAGGAAAACAATTCTGAAACATAATACGTAACTACAAAAAATAAAATTCCCAAAATTGTAAGTAAGGGTCAGTTGAGGGTCGCTCGTCGGATACACGTTGTATGTGTTAGAATCAACAGTATGTACCTCTTTTCTGTGAAAAAGCTATCTGATCTCTCAGATACTGTACTGTACTCGCTGTTCAGTAAGTTTAGGCTTAACAACTGGAGGCAAGTATCTAGCTAGGTAAGATCAGTGTTAAAACCTTTAGTGATTCATATTCATAGATAATTTGAATATAGTGCTGGCACGATTCGATAAACAAATTTTTGAACGCTTTTTTCACCTTTTTGACGTTTAAAAATGGTAATACTCACATTTTAAAACGTTTCATTCACGTTCTTCACAAATGTGACCAGAAGGTACATTAATTCTACTCAACATTGCAGCTTTAAGAGACGCATTAACCATGCTAACAACAACATGATCGTGAGATACTTTGTTAGATATCCACATTTTAAAACGCTTCATCCGGCAATAGTAGAGAAGAGGATTCAAGGCGGCGTTGAAGACCGTGAACAGAACCTTGGCAATCACCCAACTGTAGAGTCTCATGAAGTCGTTAGTAAAGAAGGGTTCTGGGTAGGTGTAACCGAAACACAAGGAAATTGCGTATAGGGCGGCTATGATGAAAAAGGGTAGGTTGCAGAGCAGAAATAGTCCTGTGAATAACGAAACTGTCACTGCAGCTCTTTTCAAATGCCCCTGATCCTTTGCTCGTCCGTTTTCCAAATGTTTATTGTGGAACATCTTGACTATCATAATGACAAAACTGATGAAAGAAATAACAGCTGGAAGTCCAACTTTTGTCGACCACAGAGCCTCTATAACGATGCG